GGTGTTATAATACACTCAGAGACCATACCAGGTCTTCAAATCTCTACTGAATAATACAATCATAGGATGGTTTGGGCATCCACACCTTCTCTGGGCAGCCTGTTTCAGTGCCTCACCATAGTAAAGAATTTCCTCCTAACATGTAATTTAAATCTCCCCTCTTTTATTTTAAAGCCATTACCCCTTGTCTGATCACTACACTCCCTGATAAGAGAGTCCCTTCCCATCTTTCCTGTAGGCCCCCTTTAAATATTGGAAGGCGCCTATAAGGTTTCCCCAGAGCTTTCTCTCCTGTAGGCTAAATCACCACAGCTGTAAGCTTTTTATAAATTTATAGGCATTAATTCATATGTACCTGCTCATGTCATTATTGCCATTATCAAGTATTGTGTGGTATTGCAGTTAGTATCCAAATTGTGCTAACCACACAGAAGAGAAAAATCTCCCAATGCAGATAGCTTAGATTTTGGTAACAGCAAGTGTCATGAGATGAGAATTACAGTGAAAGCTTCAACAGTGTTAGGATAGGAATATGAAGATTACAGAAAAATACTGGATTTTTTGGTACTCTATTACAAGGCTTACAGGCTTTTGCAATAAATTGTTGATGATGCCAGGGTTCACATGTAAGCACTGCTTATTTTTTTGGGCTCTTCTTCCAACCTAATTAGGAGAAGGACTCCACAAACAAGCTCAGCGCTATTTATTTATTTATTAAGAAAATATTTCCTTCTCTTATGCCTAGTTTTGTTTGCTGTGTGTGATCACGCTGTCAAGCACGCTCTGCAGAGAGAAGCTCAATACATTGGGCAGTCCTGCATGATTGTTATTTAGCCACCGGCATCTCCCCACCTATTGACCTGATGTCCTAGGACTGTGCTCAGCTCCTTTAGTCGTCAATATTGTGATGAAAGACTTTCTTCAGCTATTTTCAGTGCTGAAGTCTTCCATCTTCTCCTTTTGCATGACTTGAGAAATGCAGGAACAGTTACCTCTGCCAAAGTTCCATGTGGAATAGTGATTTCCTATGGCGGAAAAATATGCTCTGCATAGTAATTACTGTTAAGTCAAGTCCATTTAATCTGCACAATGACTTCTATTGTCTTTGCAGTATGGGAGGATTTGGGAGGCCTAGTCCTCTCCCAGGTGAATAGGATGGCATTCTTAAGGAGTGTAGAGGTGTGAGAAATGTTAAATTGCTTACTTATATTGGGCAGCAGATCTTTTGGCATCGTGAGTGCACAGATATAAAGATGAAATATAGGCTGCAGTTTCTCATGAATATCAAGTCTACCTATGATGTAGACATGGGATAATCATTATGTAGCTTTCCTATTTCCCCTTATTAACTTTGCCCTACATACTTTCTTGAACCTCTAGGCAATTTTCCCCTCCCTTGTAGCTTGTGTTGGAAGTATGTAAAATTGCAGCAAGTACCCTTATTTTTACACCATTTTACTTCTATGTTCATTGAATCGTAGAACTGTTTTTGTTGGAAGGGACCTTAAAGATCATCCAGTTCCAACCCCCCTGCCATGGGCAGGGACACGTTCCACCAGACCTGGTTGCCCAAATCGTAATTCCAGGGATTGTGCATCCATCCACAACTTCTCTGGGCAACCTGTTCAAGAGCCTCACCGCCCTCATAGTAAAGAAATTCTTCCTAACATCTATTCTATATCTCCCCTCTTTAGTTTAAAGCCATTATCCCTTATTCTGACACTACACTTCCTGAAGCTTTTCTTCTTCAGCTTTTCAGATCTTCCACCTGACACACAAAATGGAAGACTTCATACAGTTTTCTTTGAAGAGAGACACACCATGGTTTTAAAATTAGTCAGATACATAAAGTCTGTCACACCATGAACACAGTCTAACTTCACCTTTCTCTACCTTTCAGTTTTCAGTCAATTAGTTAAGTTCATCTCATCTTCAAACTGGTCGTTTCTAGTTTTTGTACTGTTCCAGCCACTGCTACAGTTCAAGGAGCGAGTGTGGCAGAGGAAAAGGAGGCTGTAATGTTTGGGTACCTGTGAATACACTTATCACAAAACTGGTGATTTGTATGTATTTTAGTTTCAAAACTTGCTCTTTAATATTATGATTAGAAAGCCCTCCTAAGTGATTTTTTTTAAAGTCTATCCATTAAACTGAATGTTGAACATAACTTTATTACTTTCCCCTTTTGCGGTTTTCTTTTTCTGTTTACATGGGCTGAAATCTGAAGATTTTAGTTCTTTACTTAAATTTTGCCATAGCTTTCCCATTGTGGTTTGACCTTTTGCGGAGATCTTAGTGGTCCCTAGACCACGGTTTGAAAAGCACTGTTTGGAAAATATTTAGACTTCAGTTTTGTTTTGGTCTTTTTATGGAGTTAGAGAATTGATGGGTCCAAGTTCATGGATTCAAATTTTTTGGAACAGGACTGTTTCCAATGAAGTATGTTGCTTAATGTTACTAACTCCAAGTAGGACATATCAGCTCCTGAGGACAATATATTGGTACAAAAATCAGCAAAATACCTTTTTTTTTTTTTTTTTTTTCAAAATTCTCCGCCATCTTGTCCAGCTCCTGATTTTCTGGATGATAGAGGAAAATAACTTGCAAAACCCTTAAATATTCAGGTGAAATCCAGATTTGGCATCTACAGATCTTTAATTCAACACTTGTTGCATCATTACTTTCCAAATCCCTCCTACTGCCCAATCCAGTTCCATAAAAGCATGACACCTGCTCAGTTTTTGTCCTTTCCTTGTAGCCAGTGCTGTGGAATTAAAAAATAAAAAAATCCAACTCTACATCAGGAATCCTAGGCAAAAATATCTCTCTTGATTTCATATGAAGTGGCATAAAGATATGACTATCATCTATAAAATTAGACCATAAGTGCCCATAACAGCAGTAGAACGTACCATACTGAGCTATCAGTGATCAGAGTTCAGTCAGTGACCTGGCTGTGACCCTGCTGTGATGGAAGCGAAAGAACTTGTCTGGAGACTTACATTTGAAGGTATGCATTAAATTGTACATTGTCCAAAATGCATCTTCTAGCTATTACTTTAGAACACCCAATATATTAGTGAGTCTTCATCATTGATTATTCAGAAGGGATTTCCAATTGCTGTGCTGCAGTTCTTTGAGCAGCCACCTTTCCTACTAGGTGACAATATTTGACCAAAAATGTTGGGTTTTTCCCCTTAAAAAAATAATAAAAGAAAACCCTAGAAATAAAGGCAATTGCTTCTGTAAGCAATTTCTAAGTTTGTCTTAGACATGTTACAGATGGAAAACAGTTACTTGGTACTGCACAGTTAGTCCACTGAGGTTAATTAGTGAGCTGTCAGGTTTTGCAGGAGCCAAGAAGCAATGAGAAGTAATCTAGAGTTTGGATTGAATATTCTGTCTCTCGTACAGATTTGTAAATGGAGTTTACAAATTTCCAACCGTGCAAAGAGAGGTATTTTTTTTCTTAAAAAAAAAAAAAAAAAAAAAAAGCTGTTTGGAAACAATCTCAGCAGTACATTAAAATGCTGTGTTACAGCCATGACCTACCATGTTATCACTAATAAGTGATCCTTCAGTGAGTCGAGAGCTGAGGGTTTAATTGCCAGCTTCAGGGATTCTCATTTTGTTCAGTTTTCAGTCTCTAAGTTAGAGTCCATTTTCCAGCACTACAGTCCTTTTGACTCGTGTCCTCTGCATCTCTAGCTGATGAAAAAATATTGTAGAGCTTTACCATGTGTGCACCCAGAGCATATGACAAATCTTTGTGGCTGGTACGGGTAGGGCAGATTATTGCTTCTGACTGGTTGGGAAAGCATAAAGCGGGTGCTATTGACTGGGTGTTGACATGCTACTGATGAGGGTGCTTTGGCAGGGAGGGCGTTGCAGTTCCTACAGGTAGGCACAGGTACAGGTGAGAAACTGAGCTGTCGCTGAGCAGTGAGCAATTCCCAGGTGCTGCCAACCTGGAGTCAGGAGAGCAGAAAAGCAGCTTTGCTGAGATGGCGTGTGCTGGGAGGCAGGAAATAAGTGTGTGTTCCTAGCTCTGCTGTTGATGTGAGATTGTAGCCATACTCAGCCTCCCCCCTTGTAACTCTCTTTCCTGCCCCATGGGGCTGTTGTCTTCTGTGCAACATTTGTAAGTTTGCAGCTGTTTTTCAATACCTGTTTACCTACAGCATCTAACCGAACATCCAAGTTTCAGCTGAGCTGCCAAGTTAGAAACAATCTTGTCTTGCCTGTCAACATTAAGCAAGTGTGAGGGGTGGGAGAGCCTTGAGCAGAGGAATTTGGCTTGGATTTTTTTTCTTCAACCTTACTCAGTTTTGTTAGCACTTAAATGATTCTGAACAGAGTTGTGAGGAAGAGAGATGATGAGATAACTGCAGCATAGACTGATGTTGTGAGATGATAAGGTGAAAAGATAAGGTGACACTGCACAGTGTCTTTTAATTGCTTCATATATTCAGTGTTAACATACGTTCAAGAAATTGGATCCTTGCCTTGGCTGAGCTTCTGTCCCAGAAGACATGCCTTGCATTTCACCACTGGCTCACTCTGTCACTGTTGGTGGGCCTAGGAGGTGCTGCATTGGAAGTTTGTGTTCTTGTGGCTGAAAAATGTGCAAATAAATAGCAGTGTGCTTTACTCAATCTCTCCTTAAAAGATTGTTTCGAACCTCACCTGAACTGCTCCCTTTGCCAGAACTGAAACTGCACGTGTGAGAGGTGATGGACTTAAACTGGTGGTGCATTAATTCAGACATTAATAGTATGTGAGCAAAGAATTTTCAAAAGGGTTGGTAAATTACATGTTCGGAGAGGCCTTGTACAGGTAGGATGAAGAATGTCTTGGTGTTTTCAGAGCAAGAAACAAGACCTTTTGGCTCTTCTCCAAGAGGAGTAGCACCAAGGTGTGTGTTGGCAGTTTGCTTGCTCTGGACTCCAAAAGAATGCTTGGTTTGCAAAATTTTCTTCTTTTATTTTTTTATTCTCCAGTTATGAATTCCATGTGAAACCTAAAAACCCACTTGGTGAAGGTCCAAGTAGCAATGTCGTGTCTTTCAGTACGGAATCAGGTAAGAACTTCCAAAAGTCTGCTGACTGATTTACAGTGGCTCTTGTATGAGAGTTTGTGGAGCAACTTTAATCCATTTGTCAGGGATATGGGAAAGGCTCTCTTGCTTCGTTTTGTATGTTTGGTCTTGCTCTTGGAGATCTTTTCAATCTCCAGATAGTTTTTGTTTGTTTGTTTTGTTTTGTTGTTTGTTTGATTTACTACTCAGCCTGTTACATTAATGGCTGGAAGGTCAGCCTGAGATCACAGGCTCTATTATCTGAGGGTATAAGATGGCCAGACTGCAGGAAAAAAAAGCAGGAGCATGGAGAGTCTGGCATTCCCTATGAAGAAATTGGCTTTACCCTTAAAGAAAGCTCATTCATTTAGGATTCTTATTTCTGACCTTTTTATGTCTACCAAATTCATTAATATGTTCTGGATAGGGAACAAAGTTTTTCTGGGGGCTGGTGTGTTTATGAGCACTTTTTCTACCTGTTCAAAAAAACAAACTGTTTATAATAGTGCTGTCTTTAGACTGAAAAGAGGATTGAGAAATAGTAGCTGGAAAAGCTGATGGTCCTGGTATGTCTTCATCCATCCTTCTTACTCTTCTGTGAAACTGTTAAAGATGTATTTACGAGTCTATTTTGACCATTGGTTGGTTCCCAATCTTAAGTGCTAGCTGACCCAAAGGTGAGAATCAGAAAATGCCTTTGCTTTCTGTGTTTGAGTTCATAGTGAGGCTAACTGGCTAACTACATTCGACTTAATGACGCTGTACAAACCAGGTATCTTCTTTTGTGTAGAAGTGTTTATTGTTTGATAGCACTTCAGGACCATATTCGACTCCAAATGGGTGTAGCCTGTTTAAAGGGACTTTGTTGATCCGCATTTTGAGCCAGGTGTAATAATATAATAGTCCTGATCACTGCTCAGTCACTGATGGATGGATGAGAGTTTTGGCTGAGCAAGGGATTAGACAGGGAGGAGTTCAGATGAAGCCACACATACTGAAAAACTGTGAATACACTCTTTGTAACCTGGATTGTTAGAACTGAAACAATGTTTATGCCAAGTGCAATTTTCATTAATGACAAGGCTTACATTCTGTCTCCTATTTAGCTTGGCCAAATCAAGCAGTCAGTTTTATTTTTTCTCACTTTTGGGCTTTCATAACCAAATTTTGTGTATCAAGCATTACAGAAGTGTCCTTTTTTTCCCCCAAGTTTTTGACAGTGTAATTAAAAATGGTGGGGAGAAAGGCAACAGAATTGAGGTTTACTGGTAACCGGTTTAAACTTGTCTTTACTAGAACCCAGTTTGAATCCAGGTTCCCATAAGAAACATTTTTAAGAGCTCATTGATGCTGTAATTTCACACCATAACATAAGAAATGACTTTGGTTAATTTGATAGAAAAGTGAACTTTGCTTCCAAAACACTGTGTTTCACCAATTTGCCAGCTATAGGAAATTACTTACCAATGCTTTTCCATTGGAGTTTTGGGAAAGTTAATTTTTTGGTGTCTGATTGAATGTTTGTTTCTTTCCACAGCGGACCCAAGAGTGAGTGAGCCGATTTCAAGTAAGACTATTATGTATATTATAATGTCCTCTGATCAGATTTTTTTTTTTCCGCAATGAAGTAGCATAATTTTAGTGGTGGGGTTCTGTACTGCACCAGTTAAATGAACTGTGGAATCAAGCAGCCTTTACACATGATTCCGTTCTTTCCACCCATATTTCTTGTGAGGAATTCATGCCAGGCTACTTGTTTACCTGAGCAGAATGCAATCAATGTGATGTGGTTCTCCCATGGCAGCTGGGATGGCTTCAAACCAACGTACACAAATGAGCCAAGGACAGCCTCATATTTTCTGTCTTGTTGTTAAGTCAAAAAAAAGCTCTGCAAAATGAATAAGCTATTTCACACTTTTTAAGTGAGTTAATAGAACACAACTCAAAGGATACTATTTATCTGCCATTGTGTTTCAGGAAAAAAAAAAAAAAAAAACTGCTTCAGAAGGCTTGATCCAGCTCTGTTTTCGGCCACTTATAAGGCTCTTGCTGTCTTTGGTAGGAGGTAGACTGAGCTTTTGAAGAACAGCTGAGATCCATTCAAGCAAAGTAGGTCTGCTTTTGCACATTTGTAGATGGACATCACTTGACAAAAAAAACTGAGACACCATTTATTTCCACATAATTCATGACACTTAATGTTTATGTAAGTTTTTAATCACATATGGTTTGCTGCAAGATTGACTGTCCTGTCTTGAATCCACTGAGAAACAGTGACTGTATCACATAACTTTGTAAATGAACATTTTGCCCACGCACATTGTACCCCTAAAAAAGTTAGTGAGCCTATTTCAAACTGGCTCCACTGACACACAGAGCAGAAGCAGTTCGCTGCATCAGTCACATCTGCACACTCCAGTGCTTCCTTGAAATACCTTTAATGTTCAAAATGCAGCTGACTGATTCTGAAGTATTGCTATACTTCAATGTGCGTTCTGCTCCATGGAGGTTTCTAATTCGATTTATTTGAATGTATTTGTTGTAAATAATTTTCTGTGCATCGTCATACTTCAGCCTCTTCCTTTCTTGCAGTGGGAAAGGATGCTATCTGGACTGAAATCCCATTCAATTCTGACACCTATTCAGAATGCAAAGGGAAACAGTATGTAAAGAGGACTTGGTATAAGAAGTTTGTGGGTGTGCAGCTGTGTAATTCTTTGAGATACAAGATATACCTCAGCGATTCACTTACAGGTAAGAGAGATTCATGTCAGTGTTGTCCACATTTTATAGTCCTCAAAAATACCATGGCTGCCAGAACTAAGAAGTTGATTAACAAGATGGGCTCTGCTGAAGTGTGATCAAGTATGTTTAATCTAGTCACCAGACAGATTAGTCATAAATATTAGTCTGTTTGTGCTCAGTAGTCATTGACATGTTTGCTACTGAATTTTCAGACTCAAGACTTACTTCTGTGTGGTCATCATCTGATCTGTTGGTATCCTGGGGGATCATACAAAAAACTGATAAAGATCAGATGGCTGCCAGTCAATAGCTTATATTGTAAAGGTGCCAAATCTGTATTTAAAACACAGCCTGGGATAGTTCTTAATAGAGGAATTAGGACCTAAATTTAGACTAGGATTAATGCTCAGTCATTCCCATCCCATTTGGTAAACATCTGGTTACTTTATTACTGTGGGGTTTATAAATAGAATCATAGAATATCCTGAGTTGGAAGGGACCCTTAAGGATCATCAAGTCCAACTCTTGACACCGCACAGGTCTACCCAAAAGTTCAGACCATGTGACTAAGTGCACAGTCCAATCTCTTCTTAAATTCAGACAGGCTCGGTGCAGTGACCACTTCCCTGGGGAGCCTGTTCCAGTGTGCAACCACCCTCTCTGTGAAGAACTTCCTCCTGATGTCAAGCCTAAATTTCCCCTGCCTCAGCTTAACCCCGTTCCCGCGGGTCCTGTCGCTGGTGTTAATGGAGAAAAGGTCTCCTGCCTCTCGACACCCCCTTACGAGGAAGTTGTAGACTGCGATGAGGTCTCCCCTCAGCCTCCTCTTCTCCAGGCTGAACAGGCCCAGTGCCCTCAGCCGTTCCTCGTACGTCTTCCCCTCCAGGCCTTTCACCATCTTCGTAGCCCTCCTCTGGACACTCTCCAACAGTTTCATGTCCTTTTTATACTGTGGTGCCCAGAACTGCACACAGCACTCGAGGTGAGGCCGCACCAGCGCAGAGTAGAGCGGGACAATCACCTCCCTTGACCTACTAGCGATGCCATGCTTGATGCACCCCAGGACACGGTTGGCCCTCCTAGCTGCCAGGGCACACTGCCGGCTCATATTCAACTTGCTGTCTACCACGACCCCCAGATCCCTCTCTTCTAGGCTGCTCTCCAGCGTCTCATCACCCAGTCTGTACAGTGCAGCCAGGGTTTCGCCGTCCCAGGTGCAGGACCCGGCACTTGTTCTTATTGAACTTCATGCGGTTGGTGAATCGCCCAGCTCTCCAACCTATCCAGATCCCTCTGCAAGGCCTTTCCACCCTCATTCGAGTCCACAACTCCTCCAAGTTTGGTGTCATCAGCAAACTTGCTCAAAATACCTTCTATTCCTACATCCAGATCGTTTATAAAAATATTGAGAAGTACCGGCCCTAAAATGGAGCCTTGAGGGACCCCACTGGTGACCGCCCGCCAGCCTGATGCATCGCCCATTCACCATAACGCTTTGGGCCCTGCCCGTTAGCCAATTGCTCACCCATCGTATGATGTTTTATTTAGCTGTATGGTGGACGTTTTGTCCAGTAGGATCCTATGGGAAACCGTGTCAAAAGCCTTGCTGAAGTCCAAAAAAATCACATCAAGCTGGTTTCCCTTGGTCCACCATACGGGTGATCTTATCATAAAAGGAAATCAGGTTAGTTAGGCAGGACCTACCCTTCACAAACCCATGCTGGCTGGGACCAACGACTGCTTTGTCCCCCAGGTGCGCCTCAATACGTTTGAGAACCATCTTCTCCATGATTTTACCAGGCACTGATGTGAGACTGACAGGCCTGTAATTGCTAGGGTCTTCTTTCTGACCCTTCTTGAAAATCGGCACAACATTTGCCAGCTTCCAGTCTACCGGGACCTCTCCAGATTCCCAGGATCATTGAAAAATAATTGAGAGAGGTTCCGCGATGACGTCCGCCAGCTCTTTCAGCACCAGGGGATGAATCCCATCCAGACCCACGGACTTGTAGGGATCCAGGTGGAGTAGCAAATCCCGCACACGTTCAGGGTCGGTTGGGAGTTTGTCATCCCCACCGTCCCGATCCTCCAGCTCAGGGCACCCTGGGTCCCGAAGCCCATCATCGGCATTGAAGACAGAGGCAAAGAAGGCGTTAAGCGTCTCTGCTTTGCCTATGTCATTGTCTGTGAGGAGACCTTCCCTATCAAGGAGCGGCCCTATGTATTCTTTAGTTCTCCTTTTTCCATTCACATATCTAAAAAAACCCTTTTTATTTTCTCTCACAGACACAGCCAGCTTCAACTCTAGGTGTGCTTTAGCCACACGAATTTTCTCCCTACAAACACGAACAGCATCCCTGTATTCTTTCCATGACACCTGGCCCTCCTTCCAGTAGCGAAACACTCTCTGTTTCCGCCTAATCTCCATCAGAATGTTCCTGGTCAGCCACGCCGGCCTCCTGCCCCGCCTGCCTGACTTGCGGTATTTAGGAATCGCCTGATCTTGTGCTTCTAGGAGGCATCGCTTAAAGAATGACCAGCACTGGTGGACATCGAGGCCTTCAAGAGCAGCTTCCCAGGGGACCTTGCTGACTAGTTCCCTGAGCAGCCTGAAGTCCGCTTTCCCCATATCTAGGGATGAGGTTTTGGTGGCACTTTTCCTTCTGTCACCCTAAATTTTGAACTCAACCACTTCATGGTCGCTATGACCAAGGCGGCCACCAATCACCACATCCCCCAACCTCCTGGACTTGCTCGTGTCAGCCGTGTGGCACTCCCGGTTAACGTCTGGCAGGTTGAAGTCCCCCATAAGGACAAGGGGAGTTAATCTCGAGGCCTCTCTTAGTTCTGTAAAGAATAATTTATCAGCGCTATCGTCCTGGCCAGGTGGTCTGTAATAGACTCCCACAACGACATCCCCTTTATTCGTTCGTCCCTTGATCCTTACCCAGAGGCTCTCAACTTTGCCATCGCCGACCTGAAGTTCCACACAGTCCAGCCCCTGCTTCACATACATCGCCACCCCACCACCTCGCCTACCCTGCCTGTCCCTCCTGAAGAGCCTGTAACCATCTATCGCAACACCCCAGTCACAGGACTCATCCCACCAGGTTTCGCTTATGCCTGATGATGTCGTAGTTGCGGGACTGGGCCAGTACTTCTAGCTCATCCATTTTATTTCTCATACTGCGTGCGTTTGTGTAGAAGCACTTCAGGTGCGTCTCCTTACACTCAGCACCTTGTGGATCTGACCGAAGGACCTCACTGGCACACAGCCCCTCTGATTCTAGCTTACCATCCCTTAGGTCTTCATCGGCGTGCCTGGTTTTAGCCCCTTCCCCCTTCGACTCTAGTTTAAAGCCCTATCTCTCAGCCCTGCCAACTCCTGACCAAAGATCCTTACCCCTCTCCGAGAGAGGCGCATCCCATCCGGTGCCATCAGGCCCGGTGTAGCATAGACCTTCCCGTGATCAAAGAACCCAAAGTTCTGCCGGTCACACCAGTCTCGAAGCCACGAGTTTATGTGAACAGCACACCTTACAGCTTCGATCCCCCCTATCGGAAGGACAGAGGCAAACACAACCTGCGCGCCTGATCCTCTAAGTAGTCACCCCAAATCCCTAAAGTCTCTTTTGATCGCCTTCGGACTTCTCGTTGCTACTTCATCGCTACCAGCCTGAAAGACCAGTAGCGGGTAGTAGTCAGTGGGCCGTACCAGGCGCTTGACTTTCTTGGCAACATCCCTGACCCTGGCCCCAGGGAGGCAGCAGACTTCCCTACAGGTAGGGTCAGGCCGACAAATAGGACCCTCTGTTCCCCTAAGGATAGAGTCTCCCACAACAATCACCCTTCTTTCTTTCTTGATGGAGGCAGTCCTGAGG